GTCTCTCATAGTTGAGGTCTACCTATGATGTCAATTACAGGCCTCTCTCATCTTTTAAGTGGGAGAACTTGCACAATTGGCGACTGACTAAATACTTATTTTCCCCACTGTAAATACCATTTAGGAACCGGTACCATTTTGAAAGTATCGATTTAAACCCTTTTAATACCCAACCCTATATAAAGGACAGCAGATTTAGGGCAGTTCACCCTGACAGGCTGACGTTAGCTAGGTAATTAGCTCATGTTTCCTCTGGTCGTGCTGGGAGAACACACCTGGCTCTCAGTGCCGGAGTCAGTGGGTTTGTACAGGTCGCTGATGCTGACAAACTTCTGCTCAATGGGCTCCAGGAGGTCCAGGGCCGGCTTGATCTCCTTCTCGGGGTCGTTCGTCTCCACCGTGGTGCTGGCGATGGCAATGTATTTACCCTTTGCTGCCACGTTGTGAGCAGAGGAGATCATGCAAACGTAGATGTCTGAACAGAGGAAAATGAAATGAATTTTAAAAAATGATGGCCTCATCAAACCGTCCCAGTCTGATCTAACTTTGAGAGTGCAAGTAAATATCAGAACACAAAACTGAGTTTAACGACACGTCAGTCCCCAGTACTAAACGAATGTCTGYACTCACCATGCTTCCTGTTGACTTGATTCTGAGGGATGATGATTTGGCAGGAGTTGACGTCACCAGTGTTGGCAATGGGATGATTCAAGATGCAAATGGCTCTGATCACCTGGCCCACTTTTTCTGTACGATCCATAAAATAGCTGGGGTCGCAGATCAGCTGTTTGCACTTTGCAATCTGAGTTCATAAAACAACCATGGAATTAGGAGAGGTGGCTAATATATGAGGAGGGTGGGATGGAATGGGAAGGAGGATGTAGGAAAATACGACACTTCAAATCAGAAAAAAGAAAAACAGACCCCATCTTATTTACTTCTTGGATTTTAGTATCCCAACATAATGAAAAAGATTCTGTATTATTCAGGTAGTTTTAGAGAACAACACAATTTAATCTGTTTTGTATTTTTGTAGACTTGAGGGTAGATGTGATGTGATTTTAGGAGCTGTAAAAGACCAGATCTGTTTTTTTTTGATACATAAAACCCAAGAAGGAGGATTTTCTTTTTCAACTCAATATTAACCTAAAATGCTGTTCACTGGTTCATCCAATGCTACCAGCTGAAATAAGCAATAAACGTGTAAAGAGTTGCTTTACGCATTACAGGATCTGAAAACGTGCAAACAGCAAAGCTCTGAGTTTTGAGTAAAAAGCAGAGTGTTGATTACACAGCAGACAGCTGTACCGAGATAAACGAGCTCACCTCTCCTTCAGACTTCACTCCCACCACCTTCCCATTCTCCATCACAATCTCATCTATGGGCTTGTTTAACATGTACGTCCCTCCAAAGATGGCACTCAGTCTGTAATAAAACCACAGAGAAGGTTGAAAGCACCAATACAACCCTCACACCTCAGAGATAACTAAACTAGGAGCYGACGTTAATTCATGAAACACCCTTTAAACAACAAGTTTCAGCTCTGTTACTACCTCGCTTTGGGGCACAAAGGCACATGAGAGGCGGGTTGGCTTCAACCCACTGAGGTGTTTGGAAGGCGATGAAGTCCAGGCTCGGGGTGTTTTCTGAACGTGCCTCAAGAAAACTCACTTATGTGCCTCTACATAATAATTAAGAGGCACGTGGAGTTAGCCATGCTAACAGGTAACTGATTCAACAAGTGTCAGACAGCAGGCTATCACCTATTCCTGTAACACAACTTCCAAATAACAACCTTTGTGTAATAAAGTGTCCTTAATCCAATATCAGTGATTCATTGTTACTTAGAATGAACAACTAAATACACAACATGTCTAAGAGAAGTAGCTCAGTCTACAAATAGTACAAATAGCTATAAGAGAGCTTCTTTACTGATGTGGAAGCACACCTACATTTTATAAACAGGCTTTAACTGAGGCTACTGTTGTGTTTTAGAAGCACATCACATAAACAGCTGTAGTTTTCCTATTTTTATAGCAGAATATGTGATTTCACAGTTAATTCTTTGTCTGCGCATTCTCCGTTATGTATCCACAGGAAAGTTGTTCTCCCAAATCACATGCATCAATTACACAACAGACCATTTCGTAACTCAACAGGCTCAAAGAACAGATTTTTAGCTAATATATGTATGAGAATCCATGATCCAAAAGCCAAGTTTAAAACGAAACAGTTCAGATCAAATACATCAGGTCTGTATAATGATGTAAATTTACCAGCTGAATTTGTTCAACTTCAGTGGTGTTTTTATAGCAACCTCAGTGTTTTAAAGCGGAATATGGCCATGATTATTTTTTTTTATCAAGTACACTGTTTGTAGCCAAAACTAAAAATTGTGCATAGTTATGTGTGACTTTGGAGGAGTATCATACCTGGCAAAGCCTTGAGGCAGTTCTCCCAGTCCATACAGAGGATAGAGGTAAGGACTTTTGCCATATCTGGCTAGAGACTCACTGTACAGCTTTATCTTGTTTATTGCATGGATGCAGGGTTGATCCAGGTAACTGAGACAGGAGACATAAAGAAGTTTTAAAATCAACAAGCAGGAATCACATCACAATAATGTACATGAGTCATTAAAACAAAAACCACTGACTCGTCTGTGCGGTAGAGTGCCAGAGAATGACCGGTAAAGTCGATAACTTCCTGTCCCAGGCTGAACTTCTGGTAAATGTCCCTCATTTTTGTTGTTTTAGGATCAACACCTTCCATAGTCTTTGGGTTGTTCTCGTCAAAGTTGGCAATGAAGCACAAGAACTTTCTGAAGCGTCGTTTCTCGAACAACCCCATGAGGCCTTTAAAAGTAAACAAMAAAAGTTAAAATCAGATAAAAATCACAAGAATAAAGGCTTGCCTGCTCTCCCATTCTATTGAATTTGGCAGTGCAATCCTAAAAACCAAACTGTTCAGTACATTGAATACACTTACTGGAAGCCAGAGCCTCAGTCTCAGTGGAGGGGACCTTATAGATTTTGCCCCCCTTGTACACAAAACTGCCTTCAACCACTTTAAAGTCCAGGTAACGAGTCACCTGTGTGATCAGCAGCATGCGGACCAGCTGACCTGAAACACAGACAGGTACACACCTGGATGACTTTCACAAACACATGCTGATATTTCTCTGTTTAACAGAAATTAAGCTGCATCTATTATCAAGTCGGTTTTCTGCACCCAGATGAAACATTTGAGAGACCGATTAAAGCAGGGTATAAAGTCTAGAGTACCATTAGCCATGAGGAACTTTGGGATGAGGTCCACGTTCCAATCTCGGCCCTTCCCCATAGATTCTGGGGGATTACCAGGAATATTGAAGCGCTTGTAAAGCTGTGGAGAGGAGAAAACAGATTTGAACCTGGAACCAAATTTTTCAACACACAAGCTAAAATTACAAAGTAGAGTTCGGTACATTAATCTCCAACCCTTTTTTTWATTCATAGTGGAGCACTTTTTGAATTGGCGGGTTGTTAAAAAAACATTTCATCTTCCCCACAAACCAACTTACATCTTCAAGAGGCGTGATAGAAGCACTTTCACCACCGTAGTACGAGTTGCGGTCCATGTGCAGAACCTTCAGACCCTTCACGGACATGATGCCTGATAGGATGCATTCCTGGTGAGATGGAGAGAAAATAAATGAAGCATTAACTCCAGTCTGTTTGCCTCAGTGTTTACGTCTTTTTACATCTACCACCTTGTATTTACACTGTTCTTGTTACAGTGGTACAGTCATATTAACTTCAATATGAATTACTTTTAGTGAATGTTATCATGTTGGCTGATTGTGTAGCAACAGGTTTTCATCCTCTAGTGGAGGGAGTAAGGATTGGAAATTAATTTAAATTAAAGCTGTATCGCACTATTTCCTGGTATATTCTGCAATAACTAATGAAAATGAAACAATACTACAATTTAAAAACACTTTTTGGGCTGTAAATCAACTGTATACAATATTTGTGCTTTAGAAATGAGCTACAAGCACAACCACTACTATTAGTTGTAGTCTGTTTAGAGTAGGACTGTATGTGTGTTACATGCCAACAGGTCAACARTGAAGGCCTTTCAGAAGTATTTCTGGGAGATGCACAGAAGATAAAATGCTTTAGGAAAGCATGAGTTGAGTTATTTATCTTAATGTGGGTACAACACCAATCTGTACAGTTAAATTAATCACGTGACTACAAATTTTAAAACAAGTTTCACTACTGAACAAAGTTTGAATAAGAAAGGCATGTGGTTTTACTTGTTCCTCTCCATGAAAGCTAAAGAATTTCAAACGGAGACAAATTCTCTGATGTCTTGTGACAAAAAGGAACAAGAACGCCTCACTTCTCTACACTTTCTAACCCCTAGAGATGTTGATATATCCTGGCTGGCAGCGACAAACAAAGCACACATTCCTTATTCAGTTAATAAGTCTCCAAAGTGAACAATAATAGATGTAAACAGTCTGTTCCATAAACACATTTTAAAGTCTGTTTCTTCTGTGGCAGGCTTTCCCAAACTTTAAAATCAAAATTTTATATCAAATTTAGCTTACAACTTAAAACATGTTGGCCTATTATTTTGTGTTCCCGTACAATGATGAAATTTGTTCTCTTATTCCAACACATCTCAGTGGGCAGCAATGAAAACATGGTGCATCAACGGCGCATACTAGGGTTGGGCAATATTGGCAAAAAAATAAATCACGATTAATTGTGGTATTTAGCCGATAACGATTAATT